TTATTAACGTTTTAATTTTGGTTATGTAACCTGGATTTTGGTGGGGTTTTCAAAATAGCCGGTTACACCATGTAGCCGGTTACACCATGACCTACGTTACGTTAGGGGAAAAGATATTATTGTGATATAAAATACAACATCAACTCTTCCCTTCCCACTGTGCCATGCGGTGACCTCTCTACAGCGAAACTTCCACAATAGGCCCAGTGTAGACATGGCGGGCATGGAAAATGTAGTATAGGATGGCGAAGAATATGGCACTCCCGATGGCCAGGATGCTCCAGTTCACGGTCGCGATCGTCGGGTCGATGGTGGACGGCCAGAAACTGAAGAAGATGATTATAGTGATGTAGATTATGGCATAGCCGTTAATGATGGTGCCCAGGATACCAGGGCAGCGAAATGGGCCCCAGACAAGCTTAGCGCCTGGCACGTTGATAATTTCGTCCTCGCTGTCATTGTACAGGGATATGTCGCCGCGGACGCGGCGGACGAGGAGGAGGACCGATACCATGAGGTACGATAGGTAGATGGCCGATACTGCCATAGACACGATGTTCTCCATGGCGACATTAGACCCGATTCTAATAATGGCCAGCAGCCAAGCTATAGTCACTGAGACTATAAGGGCGGGTACCGGCAACTGTCTAGAGGTGGAGATCTGTTTGCGGCAAGGCGTCAGCTTTATGATAAATGAAGACTTCAAGGTGATCGAGTGATTCCTTACCCGACTCCACAATCGCCATCCCGGGACCCCCCTATCCCGAGAGAAGGACCAGAGCTGGCGAGAGGCGGCAGCAAGCAAGCCCATGAGCGCGCCGATGTAGACAACGAGGATGATGGCAGACATGGCTAACGAACCCGATACAGAGTTGGTCGCTTCTAAGAAGATGCCCATATAGGGATAACCAGTAATCTCCCCTAACTTTCCGCCAAGATCCGGACCAGTGCAGAACATTGTGGCGATTAAGATGCCGAATCCGAGGCAACCATTAATCCCGATGCTGAGCATGAGAGTTTGCGGGATGACCTTGGAAGCATTCGCGATCTCTTCAGCCATCTATTCGAAATCTCGTTAGGAAAGAGCATCTAGAGACGGGAGGGACAGGGGCTCAAATTAAATAGCAACGGGCTACCAACATGCACGGCAGCATCACCTCCACCAAAGGCAAATGCACAGGTCGTCATACCGACGAACCAGGATAGTCCCTGTGTCTTAAAGCCTCCTCCATTATGGAAAGACAAGAATACCTGCTCCTTTGTGTTGTGTTCGGCCATGTAGACAAGTGGGATGAGGACCCCAAAGAAGCCAACAATATGCACGACTAGGAGCACCACCCCAGCACGGGGTAGGATTTTGCCGCCGACTAAGTTGATAATCAGTGCAAAACTTAACGAAGCCCAACAAATCAGCATTGAATGCCATGGCATGGCATGATATAGGTCGTTCCCTAGTATTATCGCGCCCTGGATCATGCTCCCTGTTAGAAAGGCGACCGCAGCGAAAGCACACTGCCAACCAAGGACGGTAAACCACCCTGTGGACTTCAAGCATTAGTAATCCCAAACAATCATCGTTCTGGGCGGAAACTAGAGACCAACCTGTGATGAAACTAATGAACTTCATGTGTTTGGGCGGGGCAAGCATGGCTGCCCAGTGATACTGGCCTCCGGAAGTAGGTGCCCTATTCTAGCTATTAGCTGCAGCTCTGGCACTGTACCAACTAAGGGGCGAGTAGCATACATCGAGGCCAATTCGGCCAAAACCATGAAACTGGCACAGGTGCCTACCCAGCCGAAGATGAACGCATAAATCGCGCCGCCCGAGCCTCCACTAATAATATATATCAGTAGGCGTAGTGACAGCAACGGAACGGCGAGGTGCCTAAGGAGTATACAAACTTTCTAAGAGGACCGGTAAAGGTACTGAAAAAGAGGGGGAGGAACGATTAGCAATATAAATCTCTCAGACATACGATCGTCCAGACTTACGCAAGCAAGCTTTCCCAGGTACCAAGGATGGTGCAGCTAAAGCCGAGTATGGAAAGAATGCCAAAATTTCGCTATGGAGAGGCACTGATTAGCAAATATAGTGTATAGATTCATCCTCCCCTACGTTTTCCTCTCGCCCCACTGTGGTAATGATGGTGATAGTGGTATCGAAAGTACCTTAAGGACGGGCTTCTTCCCCATTCGCTGAAGATGCGCATCGTCACGCTCTCGCACGGAAGAGTCGTGCCCCTTTGCTTCTGGAGGGACCATAGCTCTGCTTTTCTCTCAATCGACGTGTCGGACGGAGACAGGTAGGAGGTTTAGGTCAAGGAGGGAAAAAAAGAGGGGGACAGAAAAGAGGATGGAAGTAGGTACCGGAGAAGGATGTAAAGGAGAAAAGAGGGGACAGGAAGATCAACTGTTTAAATAGTCTTGTTCCACCTCATATGCACGCTGTGATCCTTCTGCTCTATCCTTGTTTATCACTTGTCTTACATGGCACCTGGTGATTACACAACGGGGCTCCTTCCCCATCACCATCACCCTATCACTCTCATTATTACTACCAAGTTCGTATAGACGCTCAAATCCTACATCGAGTTACTCCGTTCGGGTTACATCGACGACGACGGAGTTGCCTAGGTAGGAAGGATGTAGAAGCACGTAGGGGCCCGCTCGTTGTTCTTCGTTGGATCTTGTTTTAGATCGTGACTAGCCGGCAAGCGCTAGATTTCAGCTCAACGTTGAACGTTGGAGTACCTCTCATATATATACCCTGTAGTACCTCCATCATTCGTTACTAATATTCTGATTATATTGTTGGCTTAAAGAAGGAAAGTAACCTAAGGACCATGGGCTTATATATCCAACTAATGAATTATGTATTTGCCACATGTTTGCTACATATTTGTATCATAAATCAGCTTGCTCTTAACTTGTGCAACAAATTACGGTACTATTATTGAAATATAAAACTCAACCATGCAAAAGGTAGAACGTCTACATTATAGTAGCTCTTAGGTTGCCGGTATAGGCTAGCATATATATAACTTTCAACAATTGTGAAGCAACCCTTAGTTATAAAGCAACAATTATCAGGCTCCCTTAACAGGAAGCGGAGACAAAAGAGTGGGACGGACTGTTAAGCTAAAAACCCTTAGTGGAGTCAAAACTACGGCGCATCAACTGGAAAAAATATAGATTGGCAAAAAGAAGGGCCTAATCCGGGATTGAACCGGAGACCTCTTACAATTTGAATGCTGATGAGCTCCCAAAGCAAGAATTCTACCACTGAACTATCAGGCCTTTGATATGTTGGTGCAGGGATTAGTTTAGTACAAGATAGTACTAGTTATTGCTAGGTGCAATCCTAGTTATCTTTATAATGGCCGTTAAATTATACAGCCAGATAAAGCTCGACTGCTGTAATAATACCTAGCTAGCTAAGTTGACATAAAAGATAGACGGATACTGTTGGAACCTGTGTAATTAAATTCCTCAAGCTAATCTAACTTGCAACCCAGTTGGCTAATAATACCTTCTCCGTATATTTAGCTCCTAATGATATTATTCCAACTATCGAGGTTCAATGGACACCCATCCCAAAATGTATATCACAATCCCAACTTATATTATGTTCAAGCCCTGTTCACTTCAAATTTTATAATACACTCCTAAGTTAATTAACCTAGACATTGTCATCATCTACTGGAAGCCTTTCATAGCTCCCAGCCGTACCCCCATTTCTCCCCCGCGGCCTTGTTGCCATCATCCGCCTGGGAGCCTCGTACATTGTCGTATAATTAACGACCTCACCATCTAGCATCGCCGAGCCATTCTCCCGGCTCCCAAATATCGGTGCTGGGTCGCACCAGAAATCCTTGCAGTTCTTTAGGCAACCCCTAGAGAACGGATTGCGGTTTGCCCTAGACCTATCCTTGTCCGCATTTAGAGCAGTCTCAACAAATGTATCAACACCCAGGATTTTCTTCCATTGGGCAAAGCAGCCTCCATGATCGTGGCGGTGACGATGGCCGTGCGATGATGCGGCCACTGCAGGATCAGGACCTCTGCCTTCGCTGCCTAGCTGTGCTCCTCCCATTGATAAAGTCCCAGCAGCTAACGCTGTTGTAATCGCCTCAGAGGCGCCGTGCCCATGTCCATGATGAGAACCGCGCATGTTCTCATACGTCGTCATAGCTCGTGAGATTTGAATAAGTTGCACGAAGAGTAGCATTGTAACCCAGGTGAGTTGCAACGCCGCCCATACAGCAAGGACAAGGGTGTAAGGGTCGCTGTTAACGTAGCGGCATATTGATTCTGGGAGGATATTACACTCGGGGGACCCCTTCTCCGTCATGGAATCATAATCTAAAGATGGTATTAGTCATTGTGAGGCGTCGGAATAGTCTTGTGGACCACTTACAGCCAACCGTGATAGCAATAAGAAGGCCTACACCGAGTTCCAAAAAGACAAGATAAAGGAAGAAGTGGCGATGGTTATTGACACCAACACAGTTATAAACCCAAGGGCAATGGCTTCCGCAGTTAGTAACGATTATATTTCAATGGCATCGAATCGACTCACTGATCGTGTTTTCCTACGCATCTGTTGCACCTCTTGCAATGTTTACTTCTGAGAGGCATCCGAACCATACATTGCACACAGAAATTTTGGTCATCAAATTTCCATAAGCTCAGCAGTTCGTTGATAGTAGCCTTCTGTTCCGTAAGACCCGCCAACTTCGGCACATATCCTGGCTCATAGAACATGGTGCAAAAATAGAAATAACCGCACAGAGAATATGCGATGGCGAAGAGGGTATTTATAATAGGATACGAGGCGTAGGTTGCTGCGACTGTTAGCACCCATATTTCCAGACTTGAGTAAGCACGAACCAGGAAAAAGTGTTGTGACCCAGCTGATACCAACAAAAAACATAGTACCAGCAAATATCCCTGACAGCCACGGCTACACTGGGTTAGCTAAAGACCAGCCAAATTCCTCCTTGATATAGACTTACTGTTTTATGGATTTGTCTCATATCTGAAGGTGCATATGCCATAGCTTTTTGGGCCAATAACTGCAAACAATATCCAACAAGCAGGGCAATTGGAATTCCTGCATAAACAACCATATGGCTCATGATCATCAGCATGGACCAGATGATCAGAAAAGGCCAGAAAAAGAAAAATTTCGCCATGGCTGATCGTTTGTTTTGGATGAAGTACGGCGGGGTCGGGAAGTCAAAGGCAGCGAGGCTACCATCTTCCTTATAACCACATTCCTTGAGTGCTTTATGCCATGCAAATGTCGTTTTCATCTCGTCTGCCATTACAGATGGAGTTTTCCCGCTGGCGGCTGCAACGAACCTATCTGAGCCATATTCAATGAGCTTTTGGATGCAGCCCACTGACCCTTTAACAAGTCCCCAATGTAATGGTGTGAACCCCGTTTCGTCCGTGGCATGCACATCGGCGCCCCACCGAAGAAACAAGTCGACGCAAGCTGGATATCCTTTATACGCAGCCCACATCAGACATGTGTGTTGTTGTGAATCACGCACGTCCACAGGGATGTTTTGGTGGAGTAGTAGAACCAGAAGGAAGACATTTCCTTCAAAGGTTGCAAGGTGCAAGATATTATAACCTTGGACGTCGGTGAGTAAGGGGTCGGCCCCGTACTCCAGAAGGAGATGCACAGTGTAGTAATGGCATCTTTGGGCCGCCCACATGGCGGGTGTAGCGACCGACTCTCCGCCCTTCTTATTTACATCTGCTCCGGCCTCCAGGAGAAATTTACACATCGCATATTGATTGTTGATTGCCGCCCACTAGGAAACAGTTAGCCATCAAATCGTCAAAGGGCTAACAGTTTCTGGGAAGGCATACATGGAGCGGAGTGATACCCTCATCATCACAATATAATGGTGTGAAAACGCCTGCATCATAGAGCTTCTGTACTGAGGGAATGTCTCCAAGTCTGGCCAGCTGCATTATATCTTGGCTCGCATCGAGGGCTGGCTCCGCGGCTGCGATATTCTTCATTTCTAGATTGCCATCGTCCACACTGAGCTGCGGAGCCACCGACGACCCCTTTCCGTTCAACATCAGGGGCGACAAATTCGAAGTATTCTTCGCCCGGTCTTCGACAGTTTGTAATGGTGCGTCAGGATGAGGCATTATGGTCCCTGTGGTGACATTTTAGCTTTTGGTTTCGAACAGAGGCAGGAGCAATGGAATCACGGATAGACAGGTTGGTACTGACATCGTATATATTATAATATTCCCCGACAGGCAGATGTTTGTTGAAAAAGAAGAAATGCGACAATCCGAAGCTGAGGCAGTGCCAAGTACGAGGCTGAGCTGTATGATGGCGGAACACTGGGACGCGTCCTTTCCACACCCAATGATAGCGGCTGGGCGAAGTAAGGTTAGGGGTTCCGGCTGCATTTTGGGGCGCTGGCTCGCCGGCGAAATGATGCACCGTTCCCACAAACAGTGGGTCATCTTACTTTCGACTTGAACTGAGCCTCGTTGTCGATCAAAGGAGAGGACAGGGAGTACTCAACTGAACACGAACATTCGAACAGTGCATGGGCGCCCGAGAAATAGTTTGCTCACAGCCAGAATAACTTCACAAGAGACAACGAACGAAGCGTCTTCAACTTCGGCCATTGTGTCGTCTATAAGCTGGCCTTTCCCCAGTGGCCATGTCCAAAATAACCCAATTAGCTGAGGCCTTGCTCAGTCCCTCCCCTCTTGGGTTTCTTTTCGCCCTTATCGTCGTTATATCTGTCCCTATACTTTTACATGCCTTCCTGAGCCGCGGCAGTAGTGTGGCTGCTCCGCCATCAATCTTACTTATTGGACCAAGCGGGTCTGGCAAGACATCACTTCAGACTCTGGTATGCTCAATACACCTGTCTCCAACTTTCCCACCACCGGCTTACAAGATAATAGTTCGAGCGAGGCAAGAGCGCCCCTACCCATACGTCGCAAACCCCACTTGTGGCGGAATGTGCCCTTCCTGTCGGGATTACTGCTGCCTCAGCAAAGTACCGTTCTGCCAACGATCCCTCACACCGAGTACGTGAGAAGTTTCTACTCATCGACACACCAGGGCACGGGAAGCTTCACCATTATGCATTTAGCGCCGTAGCGAATACGCAGAACCTGAAGGGCGTTATTTTCGTTGTCGATGCTGCCAATCTTCCAGCGGGTGATGAAGGCCTCAGACAAGCCGCCGAATATCTTCACGACACGCTATTACTGTTGCAAAAGCGCTTGACAAACATTAAGTCTTCCAAAGCCCCCAAAGGAATAGAGGTCTTGATTGCTGCAAACAAGATGGATCTGTTTACTGCGCAACCTTCTGCGATTGTGAGGAGCTTATTAGAGAAAGAGATCGGAAAAGTAAGAACCTCAAAATCCAAAGGTCTTCTGGAATCCGGTATCGAAACTGCAGGCGACCTGGATGATGTGGATAGTGACGACTGGCTGGGCGAAACCGGGAGCACCCAATTTAAATTTGAGCAACTGGAGGAGTTCAACATTTCTACCGAAGTTGCCGGTGGCTGTGCTATGGGAGAGAATGAAGCAGACGTCCAAAAATGGTGGAAGTGGGTAGGAGATCGTCTGTGAGCACGTGTACGAGCACGACAGCGAACAAGAACAGGAAGAAATCCCCGCTACATCATATGTTTTTGAGGGAGTCCACCAATTGGATTCAGTAGGGTTGTGGCCGAGGCGGATAAGTTAGATCCAACTGCAATGCCCACTCACTTCGGCCACAGGGTCGAGCATGAACTGCCATCTCCTTGAGTGAGAGATATCGGAGGGCGCCGCACGACGTCATGGCAGCCAAATAAGGTTATGGGACACGAATATATCGTGGATTATTAAATCGATAATGCTACAATGAACGATACCATACATATCTGGGAATATTTATAATATAATTACATTTAATACGTGAATTCAATGATCTAGAATAAGTGATAATAACATGAAGCGTCCCGTTGAAGAATATCCCACCACGCTAAACCGTAACATTTTGTTCAGCCTTGTCATGCAATTGGTTTCCACAGCCTCGTAAGTTGGTAACCCCATCATCACCGCCGCCTTGAAGTATTCATATACCGCCAGCTCTTAAAGACGGGTTAACATAGAAGGCGCTTAGATGAAGAATGCCCGTCGGAAGTGAATCTCGAAGTAACTAAAACATGTGGCAACTCTACACGAGATAGATTGGAATACGATATGCCACCATGGACGTCCGGACACTGAAGAACGAGCTGTTTCAA